ACCGGCAACGGGATCGCAACCCTCGGTGTTGCGCCCGCACCCCGCTCAGCCAGTGAGCGGGGAACCAGTCTGTATGTGGGATCCGAACCCTCGGCAGGAGCGCCGCTGCACTCCCAAGCGGCGCGCTGTAGCAGTGCGCCACCGGGCCGGCCCAGGGATCATTTAAACTTTAACTGACAATTTTACTTTAGCTTGATTTATTCAAGTAAAAGTTCAAGAAAGGCAACTTTTAGAAGTGCTTTTATAAAACCACTAAACTCAGAGTTAGGCTATTTGAAGTCTGATTGCTATGTTGGTATGGATTATTTGTGTGATAATAGTCTCACCTGTAAAATGCAAACACTAGCCTACATATCCCCTCCAGTATGATATTATGGGAAGGAAAATTTGGGTATGATTCTCACAGAAGGATAATCCTTCTAATGGTACAAACTTGTTCACATTTTTACCACCGATTCCCCCTGCCGCTTAATCCACTTGCCTAAATCATAAAGATGTATATGCTTTCCTTCCAGGGCAGGAGGGCATTTTCTTTATTACTTTTCCTCTGTCAAGATATTCCAGCACAACTTCCCTGCTCCCATTACTCTCCATTGGAAAGCATTTCCTGTGTCTTTAGAAGGACCTATGGTCAGTAATTCCTATTTCCTCATCTTGGTTTGACATGATTAATAGTCACTTGGGTTGGTGTTTTTATAATGATGATGATATTCATGATTGAGCAAAGCCTTTTTTCTTCCTAAAGGTGGCTATGTGGGATAATGATCATATTGGAAAAAATGTAGGATTTAATTACATTATTTCTTTTATTATTTATTACTCATTACTTTTGCATGGCACATATCTGTTATATGGTCATACAGATTTCCAGTGTTATAGGAAAAAAGATCTAATTCTGACCATGGGGAAGGAAGTCTTTTGGGTTCATGAGAAACAAACATAGAAGAGAAAAAATATGTTTTATGATTAATTGTTTATTTTCAGTTTCTATGCAGTTTACATTCGTGAATTCTGTGTGTCCAAGGTGATTTTATTGAATGTAGAGTAATACAGCTTTCCAACAGAAGAAGAAGAGAAGCAGATGTGACGAACACAGATGTTAATATAGCAGCCTTGGCTTCCAAAAGAGTGACTTTATATTTTTGAGTCCTTTGTTATTTTTGGCAAAGATTAATGTACTAATCTGGAGAGTATCTAAAACTTCACCTCTCAAAAAAAATAAAATAAAAAAAAAGCCCTTACTTAACTCCAATCTCCCAAAATACCCATACTTTGATAAATTTAACTCCCCATGACCTTGATTTCTTCCATTTAAACATTTATTAACTATAAAATAGTTCAAAGATCATTAGAAGATAAAAAGAAACTAGCACCAAAGTAATGAAATAGTGTAACACATTTAAATTAAAATGATAGGAAAAGATAACCTCTCTGAGAATATTATGAAAAAGTGCTAGATTCAAAGTTTTTTTCTTGTTTCTTTGTCCTCTTCAAGTTATTAATTCCTTTTCCATTGGTTTCTCATTCGTAGTAATAGTATCTTTCTGACTGACCAAACCCTAACTGTTTCGATATATCACTTGACACTGGGTGTCTATTACTGCGTATTATACTAGATCTGGTAAATCCTTCTCCACATCCAGAAGCTTTTCTGTTTTCAGCTCTGTCCTCGAATTTCACAGGGCTAGAACTATGACTGACGCTTCCATCTTGACATGGCCCAAACCCTGAGTGCCTGTATTCATAATCTGCACTTCCATAGCTCCCATGTCTCCAACCTATACCTGAGCCATGTAGTTGCCTTTCACTTCTCATGAAGTGAAAATTATTGGTCCCAGAAATGTGATGAGGACCACGTAATTGCATTCTTGAGCTATGTCCTAACTCCTGAGAAACAGTACTAGAGTGACCTTGTTGTTTTCTACTACGTAGGTCTGAGTGTCCAGGGGCAGACTCAAACTGCCTGTGGTTAGACCTGGAGTATCCAGAGCTGTCTCTTGACTGGCCATGGTGGTTTATGGAACCAGACCTGGATTGTCTGTCTGAGACTTCTGAGCGTTCTTCATTATCACTGGTATGACTGACATTGGATCCCTGATGTCTATGGTCACTGGATGCCGATGAGGTTTGTCCATGTCTAGTTCCAGAGTGCCTGGATCTGTCACGTGACTGTTCATGTTGGATGCCTTGTCTTTCTCTTGTGCTAGATCCGGCGTGCCCATGAAGAGAGTCAGACTGCCTGTGTGCGGCCTCCTGCCCTTGATGTGAGCCAGAGTGCCTAGATCTTTCTCCTGAGTGTCCATGTGCAGTGTCTTGATGGTTGCTGTGTCTTACCCCAGAGTGACCATGGGTTGACTCTGACGGGCTGTCTGAGTCTTCACTATCACTGGCCTGACTGACATTGGATCCCTGATGTCTATGGTCACTGGATGCCGATGAGGTTTGCCCATGTCCACTTCCAGAGTGCCTGGATCTGTCTCCTGACTGTTCATGTTGGCTGCCTTGCCTTTCTCTTGTGCTGGATCCAGAGTGCCCATGAGCAGAGTCAGACTGCCTGTGTGCGGCCTCCTGCCCTTGATGTGAGCCAGAGTGCCTAGATCTTTCCCCTGAGTGGCCACGTGCAGATTCTTGTTGGTTTCTGTGTCTTACCCCAGAGTGACCATGGGCTGATACTGACGGGCTGTCTGAGACTTCACTATCACTGGCCTGACCTACATTGGATCCCTGATGTCTATGGTCACTGGATGCCGATGAGGTTTGACCATGTCCAGTTCCAGAGTGCCTGGATCTGTCTCCTGACTGTTCGTGATGGCTGCCTTGCCTTTCTCTTCTGCTCAATCCGGAGTACCCATGAGCAGAGTCAGATTGCCTGTGTGCGGCCTCCTGCCCTTGATGTGAGCCTGAGTGCCTAGATCTTTCCCCTGAGCGGCCATGTGCAGTTTCTTGTTGGTTCCTCTGTCTTACCCCAGAGTGACCCTGGGCTGAAACTGACGGGCTGTCTGAGTCTTCACTATCACTGGCCTGACCTACATTGGATCCCTGATGTC